GCTCCGTTTTAGGCATGTAAGGCCCTTATCTGAGGAAGCAAACGTCAACTCTGCACCTCCCCGCTGCGTCTGACAGCACTGCACTGAAATCCTACAAAGTAAAACACGACCCCGAAATAAACAGCAGGGCGCTGAGTTTAAATTGAGAAATTGTGGGTCTTACTTAAAGCTGCAGTGTGTAACTTTTATATTCAAGTAAATGGTTTTTACACATTTGTCAAAACTGTATCTGTTATGATAGTTTATGAGACAGATAATCTGAAAAGATCGATCTCCTCCACCTCTTCTCTGAGCTGCTATCTGAAGAAATGCTTTGCTCCCAAACAAAAACAACCAATCAGAGCCAAGAGGCGGGGCTTAATGCTGTCAATTAATGCTGATAAATGTGCGTTGGTGGTCACGCTAACTACCCTCAGCATAAACAACATGCTATGCTAGCTGCAGCAGCACAGAGCATGGAGGTGAGGGAGGACTTGTCACTTGAGATGGTGATCGACAGCACTAAGCCCCGCCTCCTGGCTCTGATTGGTTGTTTGTAGTTAGCACTGGGAGAAGAGCTTTCACGGATTATCTGTTTTATTTCATGCCATCACAACATAGTGACAGTTTCAATAAATGTGCAACATTATAAACATTTCATACTGCAGCTTTACAACAAAATTCCAGCCTGTCTGACAATAACTTATGTAACAATAAAGAACAAAATACACAAAATATATCAGAGGACAGGGAAGAATAACGATATGAAGACATGTAGGGAATACAAAAAACAACACAATATGTACAGTTAGAACCATTTATCCTGATAAAGCAGATGGAGGTGCAGGTGGAAGCCAGATTAACATGTTTAGCAGCATTTAGCATCTGGTCGGCTGTAGTAAGACTTTATGTGAAGGTCTGACATCCGCCTGAACAGGAAGGAGTCTCCATGGACGTTTATGACTGTTAAATAATGACACTGATAATGCAAAGTTGCATTAAAAGCCCATTAAAAGTGTAAACCTTCATACATTCATGAAAACTCCTTCATGCTCATAACAGGTGCTGTGTCAAGTTTACGACAGTATTATCACTCTTTTCCACACCCCTTCAAATAAATGTTACCTCATCTCCTCAGCCACAAACACAACAGATGCAGATAAAATGTTCTATATTTTTATTTACTAACATAAAACTCCTGGTTATAAATTATAAACCATCCACAAAAAACATCATCTGACTACAGGAATGATGTCAGAGTGAATTTCCTGAATCAAGACGTTACGCTTCAAACAAGGTGAATGCTTTAGGTAATTAATTATCTTAATAGAGTTAATAACTCTTTACTTCTTCAACTCTTTCATTCTGAGTATTTCATGAAAATCCTGCAGGTTGGATAAATAACAACCAGAAAATCAAAATACTGAACCAAGCAGAACAATTTAGGAAAACACAAGAAAACTTCGTACAATAAATACTTTAATCTTGTATCCTAAGAATAGTTAGTAAAGCAAACATAATACAAAACCAGCAGGCTTCGCTCGCTTTCTGGGGGAAACTGCGATATTTTGTGATTTTTATCCTGTTCTGCTGTAAATACAGTCAGGCTAATTTGAGTTTAAAACATTTCTGTCTGCTGGAAGTACAGAGAGGAGATAGTCACTGTTCACTCAGAAAGCAGCTCTCTTCATTAAAAACAGGGCTCCCTGTCATAGTTCCAACAAACGGCTGTAAATAAAGACTCACAATGTTAAATTAAACACGCACACACACACGCACACACACACACACACACACACACACACGCACACACACACACAATCTCATGCAGTGGATCCTCTGTCAGACTTTCACAAATCCACACACACAATAAATGACACCAGTGTTGTCAAAACTGACTGCAGACAGTGTTGCCACTCTGCTTAACTAAAAGTAAGCCATGCAAACTGTCTAGTGTGTGTGTGTGTGTGCGTGTGCGTGTGTGTGTGTGTGTGTGTGTGTGTGTGCGTGTGTGTGTGTGTGTGTGAAAGAGGTCACTAATCAACTAACAAAGAGCTTATGGAAGAGAAAACAGGATAGATTATTCACTATAAAAAGCTGCATATAAATGGGGGGAGAGAAAACGTTAAAGTGGAGCATTAAAAAACCGTAATGAGACGAACAAACGTAGCTGGTACTGAAACTTCCAGCATCTTACTTTGACTGAGCCAGTCAAAGTCACATAAAATGTATATTCCAGCCCATGTTTGCTGTCAGCACCACAGAACAGATTTTGTCCAGTGGCTGTAAAAACATAAGAAAATGATGTCACAAAGCTAAAGGGAGTCAAATGGGAATGAAGTGCAGATTAACAGTCTCTGTGTTTCCTGCTACACACAATGAGTGAACGTCTGAAACCGTACAATGAAAGCACAACGCTTAAATGTTTGAAAAGCAATTCAGAAATGACAAGAAACAGAGAAAATTAAACTGTAACTAATGTTTTCTGTGCAGCACAATGTGGTATTAACTTTTAATTATGTATAAGTCATTTTTTCTAACAAGTTGAAAATGTTATTTATATGAAGGGAAACAACAAAATTAAAATTAAATGCATTTGCCCCAAGTCCCTGGAAAAGATTTAAAGTTTTTTCCCTTACAGCCATTAATGCACCTCTTCACTGTTAAACATGGATATATTTGGAATCCATGGAAACGTCAGACAGATGATAAAGATGATAAAAAGCATTTGAGATTTCCAGATGTCAGTGACCAGGAACCTTCATCAAAAAGACACGGTAGGGAATTCTGGTAGTGCCAAAAAGTATATATTTTGGTGGTTTTAATATGTTTTTTTCTGTAAAATGTGCTTAAATTTGTTTTTTTGTTTGTTTTTTACACTGGATTTCCAAAAAGTACACTTCACCTTAGTCAGATATAACAATTTATTATTTTACTTTAATTGAATAAAATAAGTAAATAAATAAATGTACTAAAGAAAAAAAAGAACAAAGAAGAGATTTTGGACATGCAAAAATAACTTTAGTGATTAAAGACACAGAAAATCCCCAGTTTTGTAGATGTGCCAAGCTTAGGTATTTGTTTACTACAATATTTGTAAAATATTTGTAAATTTACTACGACCTTTGCACAGACAATTGATCTATGGTTTTTGAAAGTTAGTAGCCTTCCTTGTGATATTTTAAAAGCTTCATACACTCTATAATACAAAAAAGAATTGCACTGTTCAACTCCAACTACCACGAGTTACAACTTTTAAGGCCGACTTTGCGTTTCAAGATGGCCGCTCCTCGCATCAACAGTCGTAAGATGTGGTGGAAACGTATTTATTTTCCAAGATACACGTGTAAAAGACAGAGTAAAGTCTAATTCCCCTGTCCTCTTAATTTGAACAAATTGAAAGTGGTGTTTGCTTATGGAAAGTAAAACCTATAATTACGATTTTGGGTGTCGCCATGTTGAAATTCCAGCGTCTTCACTAAAACGCCGTCAGCTCAGGTCTGACATCAGATCAAACTCAGGTAACTGGAGCGCTGCAGAATTTGTGCTCATTTCTTCTTCAGAGGTTTTTGTGTCGTTTCCTTCAGTGGGTCTTGGTGCAGCGCCCCCACAGGCCTGGAGGGGAAATGGGATTTAGATTGGTTTAGATTGTTTGACATAGTGCAGCATGAAAGCAACCAAATGTTGCAACTTTGGTCCCCAATCGAACCAAATCTACCAGAATATCAGGTGTGAAAACACCCTGAGAGCAAGAACATATCCAGATATCCTCTGACGTTAACCAAATAGGGGAATCTTCTGTCTGAAGTTTCTTGGGAGACGGTTGTATAAGTTTTCCTGAGCAGTACCGTGGCACTCAGTACGTTTTCCCCTGTGGTAGTGAAAGGCTAATTTACAGCTTAAACACAGGAAATGACCTTAATCCCCTGAGTTTCCCTTAATCTGCAAACTCTTTCTGTTCTTCATGCTCCAAATGATTGAGCAGCACACATGTCCTCATGCAGCCACACACGGCACTAAAGCTGCTCACTGGTCAATGGCGGAGGAGATCCTGTTTAAGGTGATTAGGATTTCATCTGAAGGCAACAAAGAAATAATCCAGAAAACTAACGGTCAAATGTTAGAGGTTGTTCAGTTGCTTTGTAACACTTTAAGCTAAACGAGTATCCTGTGACACATGGCTCAGTAATATTAGCTTCATGTCACTGCTTAGAAGATTGTTGCACAAGGAGATGGCAATACCTGGATATTCTGCAAAGATAGATTTAGTTTTTTATTATATATTTAGTTTGACTGTTTTTGGAAAGTAGACAGGTCATAGAATAATATCTTGGCTAAACAGTTTGTGCCAGCTGATTTTTGCTCAGTAAAAATCAAAGTGGCTGCAAACAGATGCGCAATTATGCAACTGTAGAACAAACTCTTGTCCTTTCCAGCAGCCATTGTACAGTGCGGACAGCAGTAAAACCAGTTGACCAAATGTGCTGGAGCTCTTCTTGTGTTGCTAGGTGACGGGCTGGGCTGGACTTGGGTTGCTAGGTAACGGGGCAGTGCCCATTGAATGTGACTTAACCTTCTGAAGGTTTTTGAAACGGCTCGTTTTCCAAACACCAAAAAACAACATGTTGTTGAAAACAGCTGAGTTGGTTGGTTGGTTTTTAACCTCTTGTAGAAGCTGTAGAAAATGGAGACATTTTTATACTTCAAGTGGAAGTATAAAAATGTGCATCTTCGATCGTCTTTAATATTAAAGACACAATGTCAGCGACTGTCTGCTTCATGTTCAGGAGGAGTCAACGCTCAAAGTTATTGACTCAATTCTCAATCAGAATAATAAACAGTGTTGTTTGGTAACCAGGATCAAATTTAAATGTTAGTACTTAACTTGGAACTTGTATGATTGTAAGAATTGCCTTTATTTTTTGCAAAGTGCCTTGAGACAATGTGTTGTGAATTGGTGTTATTTAAATAAACTGAATTGAACTCTCGCAAAATAAAGCACAACCAAACACACATTTTTCTTTTTTTAGCAAAGAGGCATTTATTTTACTGCGTCCTGCTGAGATGTGACAGCATAATAAACACCTTCCTGCTGTGTTCTGCCACGTGATAGGGCCTCTTATATCAGGCTTTATGCCCATTACAGCATTCCCTCCTTTAATGTATGGTGTTGATTGACAAATGTGTTTTTACATTACAATACATTTCTTTTCACAGGCAGGAATTTCAAACAAATTGCTTAAAAAAAAAAGAAAACACTTTTTGTGTAAAACCACTCAAGCACTTGGCCATTCTCCCAGTCTGGGCTGTCCTGGCTGCTGAATGGACAAATTGGCACCATATAGGTTCTTATCATTTCACCACCAACCTCATTTTACCCCATTAATTACCAGAAATTTATTTCTTTTAAGCTGTTGGAGAACATTAGCAAACAACCAACCAAGGAACACAACAGGCAGGTCAGAGGAAGACAGGATAATTTAAGATTTGCTCAAAAATGAGTCAAATAATAAGGTTCAATTCAATATTTAAAATGACATTAAGCAAGAAAATCTCTGAGAAAATACAAAACACTGTAGACAAGAGAAAATGGGATTGGAAATAACTGAGTTCCTTCTTGTGAAGAGAAGAAAAGCGTTTTGTCTGAGACTGAATTGTGATTCGTGTCATCAGGCGGTCGATGCCTTCATCCTCAAACACAACCCGCACTTATTCACAACTCTTCTTCATTAACCATGCATAGAGAGACACTCCAATAAGGAGGCTATCATTGGTTTTAGCTGTTAAGTTGCCAGCACAACGCGCCAAATATTAAACGTACCTGTGATGTGTTAAAGAAAAAGGGACGCAGTGCTTTGCTACACTACAACAGACGGAAAACAAGATCAGGAAAAAGTTTTAATAAAAAAATAGCAAGGGACAGGGAAGGAGTTCAGTTATGCTAGCTTGACTATGACAACCTAACATGTAGATGTGCTGCTGAATTTGGTGTTTCGGTTCAGTTTAGAAAAAACTCTGACAGATCGTCAGTTGAGCAGGCGATTAAATTAGCTAATCAGTCAGCTGTTAGATTAGCTAAAGTTAATAATCACAAAATAAACAGTTGTCGTAGTGTAGACCATTCTCTTTAAGATTTGGCGTGTTATGTCGGCAACTTGACCGCTAAAACCAATGCTAGTCATCGTCAGCTAGCAGCAGGGGGCGGGATCTCACACTGCAACATGTCTATAGATCCTACTGTGAAATTAATGACAGTCTTATTGTTGCAAAAACAAAATAGCTCAAAATAGTCATTGAAGAAAATGAAATAATTCAAAATGAAATTGCTAAATCTATGTATGACTAAGTTTGCTAAGTAAATGATTTTAATACTACGTCAAATTTCAGTTGAAATTACATCACATTTCAGTTTATTTTAATATGTGCAGTTTCATCAAATCATGTTTCATTTCCAGCAGGTTGAGTAAAGCTCTACAGTTTTTGCAAGTGTATCTGTCGGTGTTTGTTCTGGTTGGAGTGGATTTGTGCTTTTCCATTGGGAACAATGATTTTGCTTGTGTTTGTGACAGCTTGACCTCTTCCTTTCTCTGCCCCTCTCACACACACAGGCGACGGTTCCTGAATGGGGTTGGAGGTTAGCAGTCGGTTACATGTGACGAGTCGTAGTTAATTCCAGCAGCACAAAGGAAAATCTGGGGGCCGGCAGATACAGGCTGCTCACACTGACCGCATCATCCCATCCCTGCAGCAGCAGTCACTGCAGAAACAAAACACACCGCTATTAACGGCCTTTCACCAAGTTACAGCTATTCAAACAAATCTAGTGCAATAATATATAAATATTCCCTATTTGTCTTTAAAGACCTTTTGAAAAAGACAGTTTGTATTGTTTTGTGAATATCTACTAAAGGAAATGTGTTTGTCATTTTCAAAGGATCACCAGTTTATGACTAATTTTAGGTTTTAAAATAAAAAAAAAAAACGAGATAAAAACATGTTTTCTTCTTTGGAAAATTATGTAAAAATATCACATTTTTTCCAACCAAAACCAGATTTAAAAATAGATTTCATGTATTTTTAGTGTCATTCGTGGATGGATGAATTATGTTAACATTTATTAAACATTCATTAAAATTGTATTTCGCAAAACTGCAATGGAAACACTGTTTTTACATCACATAAGTCACACGATCAACAACAGGAAGTTACTATTTCTGGAAACAACAAAGACAACAGGAAGTGGTAGGAAAATTATGTTTTTTAATGACATAATCATGAGCAAACTTATTCACATGATTATTATTTTGCATCTTATTTAACAGAAATGCTGCAATATTGCACAATTTTTTTTTTTGACATTAGCAGAATATTGACAAAGTTTTGCTCACATTTTTCATGGAAACTGGTGAGAAAGTTGAATTGGACCAATTTAGAATTACAATGTAACTGTAATTAAACAGTGTGTGTTAAACACAATGTGTTGTTTTTTTATCTTTAACCTACAATAGTTGGACAAAAATGATGAAAACATGTGATTTTGACAAGTAGCTCACAGCCACAAATTAAAGACGCTGATTATTGGATTTACTCAGTTTTTTAATTACATTTCTGTTCAATGTTCTCAGCTTTAAACTAGTAAACAGAAAAATAGGAGACAGAAATTTTAGATCATGAGGATTTCCAGCTAGCTGCACAAATATTCTGTAGATTTCACTGTTTTTACACCTTTGTTCAGTTTTAATCGTTTCAAACTTTGTTGCAACAGGATAAAATGTGAGGAAGAGTAAATGTGTGTGAACCCCACAGAGACAGAGTGTGTGTGGAAGTCTTGATGCTCATCAGTGGTGTGTGTTTACTGATTAATCTGTTATCCATCACTATCATCTCATCTCCGCCCAGTAAACAGAGACATCAGTGACTGATCACCCTGATTTCAATCAACAGAAAACACTTCATCAATCGGGTCAAACACACTAATGTGGTTTGAGAGTGTGGACAAACAAATGCCAAGTGCGTGTGTGTGTGTGTGGATGGGAGGAGGCAGAAGTTGGGCGGAGGGAGCAGTGATTTGGTCTGATGCAACAGAGTCGGTTTCATGACCCGCGGAGGTGAGGATGAGGAGGATGAGGAAGCATGGACAGTCTAAAGTGACTGGCAGACACACAAGCTGTTGGTTCTGCTTCCTTCAAGCTCCTTATGTGACGGTGAGTTATGAGCGCGGCGGTGCGATCGTTTACACTCGGCTGCTGGTCGCCAGCGGCTGATACTCTGGTTGGTTCAACACTAACTAACACTACAAGTTAAAAAAATCACAGAAAAGAAGAAAAAATCTGTAAAAAAAAAAAACCCTTCACAGCTGAAAAGTTTTAATGGAGGTCAGACATCATCTGCTAAAATAAGTTATTTCAGTCACGTCGTGCTCATGATATTTAGAAAAATTCAATATTTTTAGTAGAGGAACAAATTCCACATTGAGAAAGTGTTTTTATTTTTACAAAATCCTGTTTCCATCCCTTAATAATCTTAGTACAACGGAGCATTAGGACCAAACTAAAAATAGTAATAAATTATGAGACTAAAGTCAGAATATTACATCTTTATTCTCAGTATGACGTCAGTAGGAGACAGATAATATGTGAAAAGATCAGTTTCCACAATGCACCAAAATCAACCAATCAGAGCCAGGAGGCGGGGCTGAGTGCTGTCAATCATCCTCATGTTCTCACTGCTAAATGTAACGAGAATGGTTTATCAGCTGTCATCTGTGGCTATGCTAATTAGCCTAGCATTCACAACAAGAGAGGGATGAGCAGCGCCACATGAGATTGTGATTGGCAGCACTAAGACCCGCCTCCTGGCTCTGATTGGTTGCTTCCAGTTTTTCACAGATTCTGTTTCACACCAAACTGTCATAATATAGAAAAGTTACATACTGCAGCTTTAACACATAGACAATAGCCAGACCACATAGATGTGAAAAACAATCACATTTATAAAACAATATTGACTCATATTAATCTTAGCACACAAAGGAAAGCTTGTTTAATGAGGTAGCATTACATTAAAGTAATAATGTGAATAATGCATGTTTCCATACAGATTGTTGTTTTTAAGGCTGCTGCTCTGGATCCGTTTTTTACCGTTTCTCTGTGTGATTCCAGTTCACCTGGATTCCTTCTGATCTGCTTCTCTTCACCTGGAAACAGTTTTACACATTTACTGTGTGTTGGAGTGTGAAATGTCAGCATCTTCTTCATTTGTTGAGCCAAGATGACGTTCCTCCATCAGCATCACCTACAGGGAGAAACAGGAACAGTGTTGGCCACTCCGACTTTCAGAGACTGACGGACACAAAAACCAAAAACCTCAAATATCTGGCAGGTCCGTCTGAGCAAAACAAGTAAAAGGTTAAACTGTTTGGCAAAAAATATATTTGTAGCGCTGCTGGACAGAAATACGTCAAATTCTTAAGCAAAGACTAAAGTAAAACGCGACACATGGATGGAGGTGCAGCAGAGCTCTGAACTGTCATAGTCGAGTCAATCCAATTTCTACAAACACACACACACACACACCTACCTACACACACACACACACAAAATTCAATCATGTTTCTGCTGCAGCCTGGGGGAACTTACTGTGGAAACCTCACTATAGTGGAAAATCACCTTTTCCATGTTATTTTGCTCAGAAGGACCTACAGAACACACACACACACACACACACACACACACACACACACCCTCTGACTAAATTTGCACAACGAACCAAGCGATCAGATTTTTTTTTAACTCTTTGTGGTGCAGATCTCACACTTTCATGCCTATTCCAGCCAGAAGAGCCAGCAAAGGAAGCGACTTTTGTGCAACCGTGGAAAATAAAATCTGGGCCTCAAACAGTTAAAAAGTGATTTTCATGACAACTAAAGGTTTCCTGTGGAAGTTTTACATCAACAGGAAACCAGATTTTCTAAGTTGCGTAAAGCCTTAGCGTACACATCCCTCTAACTGCAGCTTATAAACAGACACAATAATACATCACATCAAGTAGAAAAACAATTCATCATTTAGATTACAGGTTGAAAACACATCAAGCAGAACAGGATTTCTGTTTCTTTCACAGTTTTGTTGTCAAAATGTAATTCCTTAGAATCTTTCACCATCAATTTAAATCTTTCAGAACAAATAAAACACTGTACAATCAAATGAAATATCATTAGGAACCAAGTGATAAAAAGCAGTCACCAATATCACGCTTTAAGATTTTTACCAATCCTTTTATTCTCTAATTTTGCTGTAAAATAATTATTTTTTCTGATGTTTAGTAAGTTTTTGTTTTGCCATTTTGATTTCTGCTCATCTCACCTGGTTATAAGGAACAAATATTTATTCCAATGACCTTATTATAATAAAAATAAAACATTTAAATCTAAATATGTACCATGTTGTTTGAAAGCAGAACTCGTTAAATTAGGTGCATTCACATCAGCCATGTTCAGTTTTTAAACCGTCAGTAAAACTAATTGCCTAATTTTTTATACAACGTGGCAATATTTATAGATTTCATACTATTTGATGTCTTTCATTTAAAAAAAATAAAATTTTAACAGCAGCAGTTATGTAAAATTAAATTACTGACCAATATAAAAGAAAAGATTGCTTAGTCCTCTCTTGCGTCGCTACAGAAACCAAACTGTTTATATATTTATATCCTGGGAAAATATATAAAAACATAATCAGTTTAAAAATAAGCCTGATCTATATAGATCAGGTAAGAAATAAGGACGCTACGACCACTTTGTGACGGATTCCTGCTTCCCGCATTGGACCGGTCTGGATGTGCGGACGTGACTCAGTGACTCACAGTAATGGCCGCCTGCAGGAGCGCAGCGTTTAGCTGCAGCTAGAAACTATATCAGTGGAAATCCTACAATACAACCGCTAAAATCTGACTCCGCTCCTTTTGTGTTTACATTTTATGAAGACGGAAGTTGCGCTCAGTGTTTTCTTCAGAGGTTTTTGTGTCGTTTCCTCCTGTAGTTCTTGGTGCAGCGCCACCACAGGTGAGGAGGGGAACAGGTTTTTAAATTAGTTTGGTTGGTTTTGACTGAAAATGTAACAAATGTTGCAATTTTGCTCCTAAAACGAACCAAATCTACCGAAATACCAGGTGTGAAATCAGCTTTTGTGTACGGAAGAGGATTAGGGCCACTGGAAAAAAGAAAAAACAAATCTGACTTTAATCTCAGAATTCTGACTTTTTTTCTCAGAATTCTGACTTTGATCTCAGAAGTCAGACTTCTGAGATTAAAGTCTGAGCTGTTTTATTTTTTATTTTTTCCAGTGGCCCCAATCCTCTTCCGTATTAGTGGACATAAACCTTTGAATTTGAAGAAATAATAAATACATTTCTTTCAGTATATTAGCGCTTACCAACAGAAATGACTGTTGATCTAAAACAGGGAAAGAGTCAAATTTAGGAATGTTCCTAATAAGATAAAAATGTCACAGTTTTCAGAGGATGTCAGAATAAAATCTGAAGTTATTAAAGTTTCCAACAGAAACCTGAATAAAAAACAAAAAACAAAACATGAAAGTACTTCAGAAGTGGTCAGAGTACGTAAAAACTGTACCGCTAAAAGTAGCACAACTTCAACATGTTTCTACTAAAATGAAAGTAAAAAGTAGCCATGCAAGAAATGACTCAAGTAAGGGTTAAAAAGTATTTGGTGAAAGTTTACATAAGTACTGAGTAACTGATCAAATTATCAGTCATTTAATATTTAAAAATGACATCGACAGATGGACCAAAATATATAAATATAATCCAGAAATTGTACTCTAGTAAGAGTAGAAATACTTCATAATAAAATTACACATATAATTTTATTACTTTAGTAAAAAAAAATATTCCTAAAAGGACATTTTTTCCAAAAAGTTACTAGAGGAAATGGAGCGAGTTACTGCAGAACTGGAATACTTTCTGAACTTTAGCTCTTGTGGTTAAAGCTCCTATTAGCAATGAGAGCTTCTCAGTTGTAGAGTCCCATCCTGAGCCTCAGTGTGTCGAGAAAAGGGAAAATGATTTTGATCATCTTGTCAGAATGACTTGAACTGCGTCTCCTGAGTGTGTTTAGGAAAACCGGGCCGAGGATTTCTCCTCATAATTGTCTCGTTTATCATTTTATTACAGCTAGCTGTTCTCCAATGATTATCAGAAAATAATTACTCTGAATTATTTAAAGAGCCTCTCCATCACTGACGATGGTGTGTGTGTGTGTGTGTGTGTGTGTGTGTGTGTGTGTGTGTGTGTGTGTGTGTGTGTGTGTGTGTTAGTTCTGCATTTAAATAGCATTAAGCAATCTGAAAAACAGGAAGCTAAATTGTCTTTGTGGATTTGTCGCTCATTTCTTTTGCCTTTTGAGATAATTTTACATGTTTTTCTTGTGGTTAAAAACAGAACATATTTGTTGAAATTATAAATATTTGTTTTAATTGACAGAAAAACAAATCTGAGAAATAAAACATGAGAAAATAGTCCTGGATAATTAGATAAAGAAAGAGGACAGCATGGCTCCTGCAGGAGTGAGTGTTGCAGCTCCAGTCTTTCTGCATGGAGTTGTTCTCTCTGTGCACACATGGTTCCTCTCTGGGAACTCCAGCTTCATCCCACCGTTAGCAATGCTGGCTCCCTTACTGCGCTTAGTTTACACCTGATCTGCACCTTGGCTTAGTTTACAAATCACTGAAGCTGAAAATAAACCACTTCAGTTCTGGGTAACACATTTACAAAGAAAGTTTATTTTATATTAAATGTATGTATTTTTGTACAGTTTTGGATTAATTACTGCTTTTACTGTGTTGTCTTTTCAGCAAATAGTATTTTTTTTAATCTGCATGCTCAAGTTAATTAATTGATTAGTTGATTATTATTTCAATAATCGATTAAAATCTTGTTCAGACCAGTTTATGTTTTTCCTTTAAATTATTACCCTTCAAAAACACAAAGTCTTACCAAATATTTTGGTCTAGTTTCTAATGCAAATATCTTGGTACACTAGAAATAAGACAAAACAAATTTACAAATAACATTTTAGCAAGACATACAAGCTCATTTAGTAAATAACTCCTTAATATTGATGAATTATCAGTAATTAACGAGCTCCACTGGCAAATAATTTCACTTTTAAGACGACATTTTCCCTGTTGTGAAAGTGAAATAATCTGTCAGTGGAACTAGAACTGGGTTGCTAGGTGACGGGCTGGGCTTGGCTGGGGTTGCTAGGTGACGGGCTGGGCTTGGCTGGGGTTGCTAGGTGACGGGCTGTCGACTTTGGGACAAACTGCCAGTGGAACTAACACTTTTTTAATCAACAATAAAGAATTATTTACTTAAAATAAAGTCTCATATCTCGCTAAATAGTTACTTGTAAGTTAGTTTTGTCTTATTTCAAGTGTACGAAGACATTTTCACAGGGAACTAGTCCAAAAATACTTGGTAAGGTTTTGTGTTTTTGCAGTGTATGGACACCATCCAGTTATTTTTTTCCGTTGGTTTCAAATGTAGAGACTAAATTTATCTGCTGGAGAAATGAGATTTATTTACGTTCTGTCAGAGGAAAACTAAGACGTCTTCATCATCACAAAAACAAAACTCTTCTCTGCTTCTGTGGCTTGTGGATTCGACTGAACCCGCGCCTCCTCCCCCAGCCCGCCCCGGACCCCCGCTCTCTCTCTCTCTCGCCCCGTCCTCAGGGCAGAAGTAAACCACGCCTTGAGGCCCTGCTCCCATTGTGCGCCCTCTGCTACTTCTGTTTGGGGCCTTTGTGCGCCACTAATCAGCCGTGGGGCCATGCTTGGCCCCGAGTGTGTGTCTGTGAGTGTGCGTGAGTGTGTGTGTCTGTGTCCCTTGCCCTCATTACGTAGCCACACTGGGAGGCCAGCATGGGAAGTTTCTGCTGCACTACACCCCCTCCATCCTTCCCACCCCCGTCCGTCTCTTCCATCCTCCCCCTTCGCTCTGAGGCTTGGACACTTCGTGAGCTGAGCTGCACCTGTTTCACACAAACTTTTACTGTCATGCAGACTTTTTTCCACTGTGTTAATATACATTTGTATATAGTCAGTGATAATATGACAGTGAAATAAGGTCACTGTAGATAGAAAAAAAGCAACATTTCTGACAAAAAAAAACAAACAAAAAAAAACAGAAATTTGTGCAAATCTCAGAAAATTTCCAGAAAAAAATTGGCTAGAAAAAACTAAAAACATTTTAAATTCTCAGAAAGTTTCCAG